GCAACAATAGTGTAGTTTAGGAATAACAATTAGTTATACATTAATATCCAATTGATATATCCATGTATTTTTATTTTCCTACTTGATATTATATAATAATAAAAAAAAAAAGAAAAACATTATTTTAAATTTAAAGCAAATTAAAAAAATTATTTAATTATTTTATAATTAGTTATATAAATAAACAAATAAATAAATTTTTGCTTAAATCTTTAGTATACAGTATATAAATTATTTATAATAATTATATATATAAACAAATAGATATAATTCAATTTAAGAAATATGATAACTTAGCAAAATAGATAAATTGTCAACTCTCCAAGTAGTAGATTAAATGTTTAAATTCTATCAATAGTAAAAATTTAGATAATTATTTATATAATACTTATATTATAATAACTATTTCTAATAATTAGATTAAGATATATGTAATAATAGTTATATTAATATAATTGACAAGTTATAAAATATCTATATAACATATTATTACATCACTTTTCCTGCTAATCCTTATTTTTAGAAATAGACAAAATCAAATATATAGAAATAGAACAGAATTGGTTAAATAAACTTATACAGAGTTCTTAAAAAAAAAGTTTTAATACAAAGATATACAAGTATTTTATTAATATACTAGTATAAATAAAGCTTTCTTTAACAAAGTTTTTGTTTGTTTTTGGTTTGACTTGGAAGTTTAAAAATTTTTTTGAAAAAATCAAAAAATTACTCTAAACTCTAGAAAACAAACAATTAATCATATATTCAACTAACAACAACAAAACAACAATAAGACAAATATATTATATTATATATACAATAATACTTATCCTAATTAGAAAATAGTAGATTAAATGAGTGCTGTCAAGGAAAAAGGGCCGATCAGACTTTTATGCATTTTATAGAATATTTGACTTTTTGATTGACATCACATCAGACTTTAATTTATAGAACATAATATGCAAAACCTCTGTAAAAATTAATTGCTATATATGTATAGCAGAACCATCGATGTTACATGATTGATTCTTCACCTGGTATGCAACATATAAAAAAATTATTTTACAATACTAGATCATTCCGCAAGTACATGTTATGATTATAATCCCATACCATTTTATTATAATAAAAATGATGTGAGGATTATAATCATAATATGTACTTGCAGAATGATCTAGTATTGTAAAATAATTTTTTTATATATTGCACACTGGGTGAAAAATCAATCATATAACATCGACAGTTTCTCCTGTTGTATAGCAGTACATTGCATTACATGATTTTGAGCCGTTTTTTATTAAAGCTACTGTTACAGGTATAAAAAATTTTTGTCAAAAATATTATTTATTTACATTTTTATTTTTTTTCTTCCGCTTACTCTGTGCTTCTTTTGCACGATCTCCTTTTAATTTTCCAATCCTCTTTACTGCATCATCTGTAGGTCTTGGACAAAGTTTATCTTGAAATTCGGTTGGACAGTATGGGTGAATTTTGTTTCAAAAATCTACTTGTTTTTCTTCTGAAAGACCTTTTGATAGAAGTTTTTGAGGACTTAGATTTACTGGATTGGCATCTTTTTTTAACAACTGAAACTCATCCCAAGAATCTTTTACTCTTATTTTAGCTCTCATTAAACCAGGCTTTTCATAAGTGAACTGAAAAAGTTAATATTTTTGAATAGCAGAAGGCTTTCGATATAATGTACAAAGTGCAGAGGTCCAATCACAAAAGAGTTCAGTATGTTCTTCTAAATTTACAGAAATATTATTACTTGCGCTTCGGTTTATTATATCAACTAGATGATCAATACACCAAGCTTCTGACTTTGCATACTCTAGCTTAGTATGACCAAATCTACGATCAACAGAGTTTCTTGTATGACCCTTAATCTGAAATTAGTAATCGATTTTATGAAATATTTTGGTATCACATAACCAAAGAAGATACCAAAGAAGACATGAATTTTTATTTTGGCTGCTGCAATTGTCTGCCCATAGTTTAATTTCTTTTGCTTCGCCTGTTACAGAAACAAGAAAATGATTTAATATCGAAGTAACTTCATTCAGCCCTTTTGATGCTTTACCCTCAGTATAAATTGCATGTCAATGTTTATCGATACCTTCATTTACTAAGCCAAATTGATGTATTTTTAGCAATGATAGATAATACCATGAGCCAGGCTGTTGAGGATTATAAGATAATTCTATATTCTGGGCAAAGTCAAATGAAAAAACATGAAAAGAAGAATGATCATTGCTTTTTGTATATCATTTTCATAAACCTCTCTTAATTCCCGATAATCTGATACATGAGTTATTAATTGCTCATCAAGATCTTTATTTACATATTTGCTATTTTCTTTTAATATACATTTGTATAAAGTGCATTCATCACATACGTCTTTGGATGATATTCTTATTATTATTTTACTAAGCTCAGTATTATTTTTCCATAGTTGTCAAAAAGTCCAACGGCTATTAATAAGGTTTTTCAGGTTCATTAAATTGTAAAGATCAAGAAGATGACTATAAGAATAATGAGATGATAAAAGAATAACATCATCTTTTTTATAATTTACAGTTATTTGCCCATCTTTTTTTTTACATATATATTTTTGAACAGCTTGTTTTTTACCATGTTGGTCGCCAAATGATTTAATAAAAAATTTAGCTTTATTAGCTGTTTCAATAGGTAAGATATTTTTAGGCTGACGACCAGTATTACCATAAGGTTTGGTCAACATTGATTTACGTTCTCGAATCCAATCAAAGATACATTGAGTAACCTTTGGGCCACACATCCAAAATGTTCGAAAAAAATGAGAACAAACATTACCAAAATAAGGAAGCTGATAACTCCTAATTTTATCTTCTTTTATATATAAATCAAAATTAGAAGCAGCAAGAAGTATTGACATTGAATGGTAATGTTTTTTTTTGTTCATAGTAATACTTTTTAATGCCAAAGATTCTAATAATGTTAATAAAACCTTTTCATCACATTTTTTTTTGCATTTACAACACTGTTGGAGTTTCTTAACAAGATCTTTTAAGATTATTGAAAGAGTTTTATTAGGATCTGTAGATGTGGTGTCATCATTACTTGTATTTTCTAATTCTTCATTAGAGCACGAATCCTCCTCTATTTCATCATGGTCCGATTCTGAAGTAGGTTCATCATGAGTTTCAAAAAACTGATCCAAATTTTCTGAAAATTCCATTATGAATTAGTACAAGTATAAAAAAAATTATTGAGGTTTTTCTTAATTACAAATTTAATTAATTGCTTGTGTTCTGAAGAATTGGATCTAAAGCACAGTACTTATATATGTTTGTTATTTTACAAATTCATTTGACCAAATCGATAATTATTGATGTCGACTGACATAAAATCAGCCGAATGAATTTAACTATGTGTAATTGTTAATTTTTTATTATATAGGATTTATTTTTAGGTTCGAAAAAAGTAAACAATAGAATCAATGAAGCTCAATAGATACTTATTTATTTATTTATTGAATACTATTCAGATTTTTTCAATAATGCCCAATAGATACTTATTTATTGAGTTATTCCCGAGTTCGGGTATTATTAAATTACTATAGACCTATTTAATTGTTATAAAATAGTGAAAATGGGAAATCAAACTTTGGAAATTAGATCCAAAAAAAAAAAAAATTTATTTGTATAATGTTAATAAAAAATTAAAAATTAAAAAATTGATATTTCATATAACATTTATTAATAAAATATATTTTCTACTACTTTTACTAAAATGCACCTATAGTGTTTTACCATCTATGTTGCATTATCTTAAAAATCGCCTAACTAATTAATACGCGATACTCTAAGTAAAAATGCTCTACATCTCCAAAATCCTTCCTAAACCTTAATGCATTAAATACTAACCTCCACATGAAAAATTTGTGCTAAAGTTTTATATAAAACATATAATAGGTGCAAAATCACCATAGGTGCGTTTTTATAATAAATGTTTTCTACAATATAAGTAAATTTATATTAGAACATAAAGGAATAACAGTCTAAATTGTTATAATATTGAACCACACAATAAAAAATTTATACCACAATTTTTGGAGTATTATTCTGGCCTTCTCTTGTGTTTCTTGTTTCAGCTTGGCAACATTGTAGTGATCTGCCTTTGTAACAAAACTAGGATATAGATCAACTACTTTACCTACGTTATCTGTGAATCCTGAATTTAACTGCTTTCACTCAACTTACTATATATCTAACCATCTGCCTTATGTTTAGTGAAGTGGAGGTGGCAGCCGTAGCGTAGCTGAGTTATGTTGGAACCTTTGTGCAGGCTTTTGCTTGATCTTTAAAAAGTTATTTGTTTGTAGTAAAATGGCATTTCGAAATGTTTAATTAAAACAATGGCTAAAAAAATTCGAGTCACTGATAATTTTCAGAGGTTTATTATAAAATTTAAAATCCGATGTGGCATCAATCAGAAAGTCAAATATTCTATAAAATGCATAAAAGTCCAATCAGACCTTTTCTCTTAGCAACACTCAAATATTTTATATATACTGCTAAACAAATAAATAAACAACAGACTAATATAGAAATATAAGTATAATACAGACTAGGTTTTTCAGATAATACAAAACTAATTTAATATATAAAAGATTTTGATGATAAAAATAAAAGATACATAAACAGCAGAGTACTAAATATAATTTTATCAAAACATATCAATAATTCAAGCAATTTAGAATATATAGCAAAGGATTTTGCAATTTATGATTCAAAAAACTTCACAACAAGTGACTTATTTCTTTATGATCAAATACTTGAAACACTTAAGAGAGCAAAGCCTTTTCAGTATTAAGAAGTACTATAAAAGAATAGATAAATAAACTGCTAGCAATAGATCAAAATTTAAAATTTTTTAATTATCTGTTAAATATAAGAAAAAAGAAATACTAAAAAAGAAAACAAAAATAGAAAGAATAAAAAGAGACAAAAATACTGAAAATATGAACATAGTTTATGTCAAAAAGAAGAAACAATAATATAAAATTAGCAATGACAAAGAAGCCAACACAAGTTTAAATAGAGTTATTAGCCAAATACAAGGACTTAGCATATTAGCATCATCATATTAAAAATCAGTAAAATATTTAAACAAAAAGATAAAGAAATTAGCAATAATAGCAAATATAAACAAAAGTAACACAAAAGAAAAGAGAGCTAAAAAGAACCAAAAAAGTTTATTAGATCTTTTTTTATAAAATAAAAGAAAAAAATAAAAAACAAAGATGAAAAGAATACAAAGCCAATAACAGAAGAAAATAATAAAATGCCAATACTTATAGATATAATAAAACATAGTCAATAGTCTTTAATGAATTGTATATATAATAAAAGCAAATTATTTAATGCAAACATGCCAATATATGCAATATCAGATACAAATAAAGAAAAAAATTAAAGTATACCAATGAATTTTTCACAGTAACTATTATAGTAAAACAATTAAAAAGTTTTTTAAAAACAGAAACAGCTAAATAAAAGTATATTTTGATTGCAATAAACAGGATTAATAAAAAAAAATAAGATTGGCTAAAACTTATTTTTAAAAAAACAGAAAATCAAGAAAAGAAACCTAGTTATCAAACAATAAACAATAGCAAAAAAGACAAGAATAAACTCAAAGATTACAAAAAAATTAGTAAAAAAAAAGATATTAAAAATGTGTACTTAGCAAAAAATAAATCAGAATTAGTCATATACTTAACAATATATGATCTATTAGTAAACATTAATATAGAAAAAGTAGAATACATATATAAAAGACTTAAAGAAACTTAAGTAAAATGCATTAAAAATGCCAAATATAAAGCCCTAGCTGTAGATAAAACAAAAAGTCTAAAAGAAGAAAACATACTATAGTTTTTATCAATTGGTATATATAAGTTGATAAAGTAATTGTATATAAAGAAGATTTTGACAAATATAATTCATAAAATTAATTTATAGCAAAAATATTAAAACTTTTAAGTGATGCATAGAAATGTTACTATTGTGATGTTTGAAAAAAAAGCAAAATTAGTATATATTCCATTTAACAGAAATAGAAATCAGAAAAGATCAGCAATAGTAATATTTGCAACAGAAGATAAAATAAGTACAGCATAAACAAAGCTAATAAGATTTAATAATTACCTATTATTTTAGCCAAATTATATAAAAAAAAATAAAAAAAAATCAAGAAAAAATAATATTGCAAGTTATAAGAAAATAAATAATAATAGTAAAAACTCTAATAAAAAAGTATATAAAAATAATTAAAAAAAAAATTAAACAAAAAAACAATAAAAACAGAAATGATTATAGAAACAGAAAACATTATAGAGAAAATCTAACAATCAAAAATCAAAAGCATAAGAAAATAAAGAAAAAAAAATAACCCAAATCTAGCTACAAGAAAAAACCTTACACATTAAAAATATCCTAGGTCTAGTACTAGAAAGATTAAAAAAACTAAAGGAAAATAGAGTAAAGAATAAGATAGATCAATTTAAACACTTTTAAAGACGCCACAGTTGAACCAATAAATATAAACAAGAAGATTAAAGAGTTTCTGTGAAATAAAAAAGAAGTGTTTAAAGAGAAAAAAGAAATAGAAATTCCTTGTTAAAAAGAAGAAAAGTATAATAAAAAAAATGAAAAAGTTAAAAGTATAAGAACAAAATAAAAACTATTAAAAGAAAAATGAAAAGAAGAAAAAAAAAATAAAGTTGGCATGTCACAATATTAATGGACTTAAGACCAAAAATTGGAAATTGAAAAATCTGCTTAGCTGAACAAAAGAAGAAAAAATTGCAATAATAGAAATTACAGAAACAAATTTTATAGAAAGAGAAAAGAAACTTCTAACAGATACAGTAGGCAAAAAATATATAGAATATTGAACAAATGCAGTAAAGAATAAAAAAAAAAGTCCAAACATTAGAATTATAGTTAAAAACAATAGAAAAAGCATATAAAAGCAGTTAAAAAAATAAGTGAATATATAATAGAAATTATACTATACTTTAAATAATTGAAACTAATAGTGATTGCAGTTTATATACTACCAAATAATAAGATAATAAAAAAAAAATATTTAGTAAAAAATTATAAAAACAGGCTCAAAAAGAAAAAATCAAATACAAATTATTGTAATAGGTAATTTTAATTATACAGTAGACAATATTGTAAACAGATAATATTTACAAACAATAAATTATAAAAGGCTGCCAATATTCTACTAGATAAAGAAACAATAATTTAGAAATATATATAAAAACATAAATTTGACAAGTCAATAATATATGTGGTCAAATAGAGAAGCAGCAACAAAAATTGATTATATATAGATATCAGAAGGATTAGTCTTAGATTTACAAAAAGCAGAAATTGAAAAAATAGAAGAAATTACAGAAAGTGACCACAAAATAGTAACAGCAAAGATATGGATTAAGCATATAATAGTAGAGAAAAGCAAAGCTAAGATTAAAAGAAAGAGACAGTCAAAAACAGTATATTTGTATAATCAAACAAAACCAAAAAAATGAAAAAACTATATACAGGAGTTACAAAACTGATTAAAAAAAAAAAAGGTATTAAAAGATATTTACAAGAAAGCATAAGATAAAGTGAAAGAATAAAAGATAATAAACAATATATAACATAATAGAAAAGAATATAGAAAAAGATGTGAAATGTTTAGAACAAATCAGAAAAAAATAATAGCTAGTTTTTTAAATAGATTTTATAAGAAAATAGTACTTGACAGATTTATCAAACAAGTAGAAAAAGAAACAAAATAGCTAACAAGTTCAGAAAATATTAGAGAAGTAGCAGAACATTACAAGAAGCAATTTAGAAAAAAAAATACTAAATTAGAAGAGATGTTAGAAGAGTAGAAGAAAATATATAAACCATAAGAAAACATCAAAAAGGAATAGTATACAAAAGTTGAAAAAAAATTACAAAAAAAGAATAAAAAGAGGTATTAAAAGAACTAAAAACTGAAATGGCTCTAAACATATTAGATATAAGTTATATTTTGATAAAATAAGCAGAAAATAAAATACAAGAAGTATTTAAAAGTTTTGCAAACCTATATTTAGAAGTAAAGAAAATACTAACCAAATAAAAAATAATACAAGTCTACTCAATATCAAAAAATATTAAATAGAAATAT